TCAGTGCCCTGGGTAGTCTCTGCTGATTCATTCTGATTTGCTCACCATCTGGTAGCCAGTGTTCATTAGGAATTGTCTGAATTAGGTATATTGCAACATATGCTCACTGTCAGTTATGCAGTACTGCACCCTTGAGTTTAAATGCCAAAGCTTTATTCTCTATCCTTGGTATTCATTACAATCACCAATTTGTAATGTTCCTAATACAAACCAGTGGGACTTATTGGGGGGCGGGGGCGGAGGCAGGGCAAGCATGTTTGTACAATATTAGAAATATCTGTTTTTGAAAGGAGGGTCTTCTAGTTATTTGCACCTGGCATTTAGCTATGCTTTCCAATTCAAATCAGTTTGGATATTTATAGCTACAAAAGAGTTGCTGAAGTAGACTGAAACATTGTTATACTTTCCTGGCCTAGCACAGTTCTCCCACATCTTCTGAAAGAAAAGTAAACCTTTTGGGTGGGTGGGGGGGAGTCAAATAAAGATTCCTTTATTTAAAGAGCAAACCAAAGGAGCAGTCTACCTCTGTAAGTAGTAATAGTTCATCAGTACTTATGGGAATTACAGACTCGTTATGAACAGAACATATCAGTCTCCAGTGGCTGATTTAATAATATCATGTTATTTTTCCTCTGCAAATACAAAATCAGATAAACGCTTCAGTGGAGCGGGAGACAAAAATGCGACACCTTTCCCAGGAGCAAATAATCAGCCACGAGCGGCTCATGTACCAGGTACATGCCTATACTTTTACCATTGGTATTTATCGTGAAGTCATATTGTATTGTTCCTGTATTCCTTACTGTCACCTTTGTGTCTAAAACATGCAAATACCACCATGATGTATATGCCTTCCAGTGTGTGACATAAGCATCATGATGTCATGTTATTACATGCATTTCGTCTTCCCCCCCTCCCCTGGTGGATGCCTTATATCAGAATTAAAGGTTCTCTGACACTGTTGCTGTGAAAGGACTCTGCCGTACATCTTTAAAAATACTGCCAACAGAGGAAAAAAAATTTCTGCACAATTATACATAATAGTGCAGAAATAAAAGGAAAACTCTGCTGAACTTGGGTTATAGAACCCCACAATTTCACTGGCATTTAGGAACATAGGCTAACTTGGCTTGGGATGAGTAAAACAAAAATAAGACAGCTCTTATCCAGATATATCTCCATGGCTAAGAAGTGGATCCAATGGTTCAGCTACAAAATTGCCTTATTTGTTATACAAATTGTATCTGTGATATGTGAATTACACAATTAGTGTTGTCCTAATTGCCATAGAAAAAACATAGCAATTCCAAAAGTTTAACATAGAAATATTCATGCTAATCTGAATATTCAAACTGCTTTTATTGAAGAATCATAACATAAATTTTATATAATCTCAGATCTCTAATTTGTAAACCAGGTAACTTGATTGCTGGCTTTTGGGTCAGAGTAAAAGAAGTCCTGTAGTTCATTCTTGTAATATTACCTTTCTTGTGGGTTTTTTCCCCTACGCAGCTTTGACTGTGCAATGTTCTAGAAAATCTTACTGTGGCAAAAGTAGTACATGAAACCATGAGGAGATGTTTGCTTTAATCACAGTTAGATTTTGTTCCACTCCCACAATTACGGAGGTAGCAGCACCTGTCATTGAGTGACTCCTACCTCACACAAGACAGTATGATAGTGGATACAGATTATCTGCACAAATTATCATTGCTTATATACAACTGTTGTTAAGAGTAAGTGGGGACATAACTTTCACTTATGTGAAAACCAGTTCATAGAGAATCAATTTTCTGTCAATTAAAAAAAAAGATCACCGGTATTATTTTGAAGGAAGTAACACGTTGGCTATTAAGGAGAATATGCCAATTTTCTGGTCAGATGACAAACAAGGGAATGTTTTCATATTGTTTTTTGTCACACTTCTGCTCACAGATTGGCTTATTGTAGTTGCTTCTCTTTTGGCCCTGGCATTGATACTTGGTGTTTGCATTGCTGTAAACAGTCGAAGGAGGTAAGGAATGCTTTTGTAGTTTTCCATTTCTCAGTGCCAAAACTTTTCTATTGCTGAGATATTTTCAGGATTGATAGTTTTATAGCATTCAAGGAGAGAACAGTTCCTGCATTACAAAGAATTTAATCAACAAACACACTTGGAAGGCATAGGCAACTGTTTTTAAACATGTAATGTGTCAGATGACACTCTAGCTTACTACTTTTCTCCCAATTTAGTGCTCATGGTAAGTCCTTTACCATGTCCTTTACCATATCATATCATGTCCTTTACCATGCCAATTTGAAAGAGGACTTTCATCCTGTGGAGTAGGTAAATTCAGCCTCAACATTTGTCATATAACTCAAGGAGCCACCTTCAAATTAGTTGCTTGGATTTACCCTGGATTATTTTGCTGAATAGGATTAGAAAATGACCACCTTAGCTGCAGTCTGCATCAAAAAACAAAGTCATATTAATATAGTTAGATAACTGGATCATATTTCTCACATGAACTATTTTCCTGCAGATTAATTGCTAGCTTTGTACTTAAGAACCAGCATATTTCCTGCTTGTTCAGGTTTTCTGTAACATAATTCATGAATTTGAGTGTGAGAGTTGCACTTCACTAATTTATATTAAATTTTGATCTTTTGGTGGTATTATTTTTGTCCTAAGGCAGAGTTTGCTAATTTTTAAAAAAATATTTTTCCCTAAGGAAGCAGACCAATGATAATCAAATGCAGATAACCTCTCCTGAAAATGTGCAGAATTATAAAACATGTACAATTTCCTAGTTGAAAATTTAGTTTTTCTTAGCATTAAATGTTACTTACTAAATCAGTACTCAAAGTTTTAAAGCCTAGTGCACATAGATATACCATGGAATATTTTGTAACTTATTGGTGAGCCTGGCCAAGCTGTACTTTAGCACCAAATTTTAAAAGAAAATGCAGTGCTGCTCATGTTTTTCAGAGTGAAGCCCCACCACATTCAGTCAGGATTTTGGTAGAATTTGTAATATTTCTCAGGGAAGATATGTACTTCTTTATTTGGAACCCACAAAAAGCATTCATTGCAAATTCTGTTTGCATTATGCCTTGGGTAGCATCTGCTTTTCAGCAGTAATATCAATATTGTCTTCATTTCAAAGTCAGTGAAGAAATGTTCCATTTAGTGAACAGAGCAGAACATAGTGATGCTATGGAACTTTCCAAAATTTTAAACAAAATTGGGGGGAGGGGGGAGAATATAAGAGTTTAAAAAAAAAAATAGGGAAGGGTGTAGAATTTTAAGAAGATGAAGCCTTTTTTCTAAGATATATTGGACATACCTCTCACATAGAAGCCAAAGTGTAAAACATTAATACACTGGCTTCTATGTGAGGGTTGTGTCCAATATGATTAATTCTCTTTAATGTGTGAAGCACATATAAATGTTTCTATAGTGACTGTTATCCCAGTGCTGAGAGTTTTCTTCCAAACATTTCAGTTTAATGAAGGAAAACCACATACAAGCCTGCTTCACATTCCAGGGCTAAATACTAGGCTCCCCCAAAATTATAGTCATTTCAGTAGTCTTCTGTTTCTGCAATATTCAAAACCAGATATGCAAAAGGAAAGGAGATTCCTGGGTCAATATTCTCTTCTCTGTATGTTGTATGAGCCAACCCACAGTACCAAAAAAGAACACAGAATTGTTTGTTTTCAACTGATACTTTTGAATCACAGTTTAGATGTCATCTTGAAATCCCTTTTCTCTTGTTTTTATGAAGAACCATAGTAATAGATAGTGAGAACTGCTGTTAGTCAATGTACATTGCCACTGCTGGGAAAGAATATTTTGGTGAGGGAGGTCCTGACATGTGGCACATGAAAAGATGAGAAGGCATTTGCTTTCTGAGTGCTGGTATATAAACTGTGTCATCCTTTGAAATATATGAAATGGTCCATTTAATTTATCAATTTTTAATGTAAATGTAGACATTGGCTCCTAGCTGTCTCAGTGTGGGCCATGCCCACCTGCCTGCCTTTTCAGATGATCAACTACTTCATCTATAATACAGAGCATGTGTAACCTGAAAACCATAGATAGACTTTGAAATCCTTAGAGCCCTATATTTAAGCCATCGACTCTAAACTTACTGGCTCAGCTGAGTCAAAAGAAACAACCATAGCTAAGCAGAACTACTGTTAGCCATGCTTCCAGTAATCATCTTTATCCTGCCTTTTATCATCTTCTAAAGAATCCAAAGATACTGTATGTCCCATTCAAAATAAGGAATTTGTTAGAAATAAAAGCTATTTTATGCCCTGTTCCAATTATGTTAACGCACCAGAAGCAGAAGAATCTCAAAAGGAAAGATTAAGCTGCAATAATTAACTTTCTTAACTAACAAATAAGTAAGGAATGTTTTTAATGTAGTTTGCTGCTCCAGACAACACAAAGGCAATATATGACATGTTAGGTTTTCTGCCTGTCTTTGAATGTTTTGACTTTACAATCTTTTCCCTTTTCTGTTAGATGTGGGCAGAAGAAGAAGCTTGTGATCAACAATGGTAAAGGAGGCATAGATGAGAAAAAGAAAGGTGGATTAAATGGGGAAGCCAGCAAATCTCAGGAAATGGTGCACTTAGTACACAAAGAGAAGCCAGAAGACCAAAAAGGCCCACATGACGAATTCCTGGCAATTGATGAAACGCAGAACCAACAAGATGTGGCCTTGAAGAGTGGCATGTAGGAGGGCTGTGCCAATCAAATTAAATCAGAGTTGGGGAAACAAAAAGCATCATACAGAACTGGGACTAGAACTCAGAAATGCAATGAGCTACTGATCTCTTTAAAGCATAATTAAGCATACATTTTCTTGTTTTTTCTTTTGTAACAGTCAGCTACAAAAATAACGTCATTTTTGGTTTTGCCCAACATTGCATAATTTTGCCCAGTTTTAATTAGTGTCCATCATGTTATCACTGTCACTTGTTTCCCAATTGCAATCTGTTTGGTAAGGCAGAATGCCAACTTCGATTTACTTTGCCTGACCTACAGAATTTTCACTTACTGTATTTTTGTGGAATTTCCAGAATCTGTAGCAATTAAGGCATTATGGCAAAAAGTATACCCAACAAATTCAAAATGACAGGCTACTTTTGAGATTTGACATGTAGATTTTGGAATTGAATTTCTATTGGTCACTTAGCCCTGAAGAAATTGTCAGATTTATTAAATCTCATTAATGTTTTAATATTTTGGAATTACATACTGTAATAGTTGAATATGAAAAGTATGTTTTTAAACATTCCACAGATGTCCACCATGTTAAAAATACACCAGTAAAGGATGGAAAGACCAAAAAAAAATTGATTTATAGCAAATAAATTTTTATTCTCTATAATCTAAATAATGTGGTGATGTTATCTTTAAGTTTCAGTGTTCACCTTCATTCTCAGCATGGTGTATTGTTGCATTATTGTTTGAAATGATTTTATTTATTAGGGATTCCCATTTATCCCATGGGCTGCGAACTGACCGTAGAATACTTGGATGGGACCCAGACCATGATACATCCCCTGTCCCACTCTGAGACTTGTCCTCCCTTGAAACACCTGTTTCCTATTTAGACCTGCATTAATAGATACCAGTCTAATGAGAATTAGAGAATTAAAAGATCCTTAAGAATAATAAAACATGGCACCTCTTTTCCTACACAGTTCCCATTCTAGCAGAGTACATTTATATGAAATCCTTTCTGTGTATTCATGACTTACAGTGGAAAAGCAAGCTAAACATACTTAAAATAAATAATTTCAGAAGTTTTGTTTCCTTGGAAGCATGCCACTGGCTGAAATCCAACTGTGATCTTCTATAAGCAGAACATGTGCCATTAGTAGAATGTATCTGCCTCCCAATTTTATTCCAGAAATATGATGGAGAAGGTTGGAGAAGGTTTTGGAGAATATTTGTGTTTGTGTGTGCATGTTTCTGTCTTAGCAGTCATGTGTTATGCTTTTTAGTAAGTAAGTAAAATAAAAAATAGCCTAGATTTCTAGCATTTGTCATTCTAGTGTCACAATAAACATTCCTTGCTAACAGGACATAATACTGATCAGTTTGCGCACATTTTGACAAGCAGTGCTTCAAGTGTAACCAAAGCCCAATTTTATACAAAGCATGGTTAAGCTATTCTATGCAAGTTAGGATCTCTAAAGACTGCTTTGCCACCAACGTCCTGTTGCTGCCTCCCACCAGTTAGAATTGAATCACAAAACAAATACATAAAGGGAAAGCTAATAGTTGAGAGGAAGATGAGGCCTGAGGAAGTCATGGCTGAGTGAAGTTGATGAGACTCAAAGAGATGAGAAGTATAAAGACTGCACTGTATAAATGTGATGGATGCAAGAGTGATTTGCAAGTATAAAAGGTATGGAGTAATGTAATAGTATTGGTTTCAACTAGATTTAGTTAGATTTCCTTCTCTCTCATCTGCCTTTAACTCTCTTTGCTTGCTGCTACTTTCTTCTTTTTCTGCACTTTGCATAAAGTTGTTTACCACCAAAGGATTGCATGATGGGTTTGTATTAATGTAGGTATGCAGTCCTGCAAGGGAATTTGAAGGAAGTGGAGTTCCTGAATATATCAATCTTTCCCTGTATTAAATCATAAAGCCCAGAGGGAGAGATTCTCTTTTGGATCTAGTTCTAGAAGCCATCAACTCACTTAACTGGATTCTATGGCAAGGTCCAGATCCTATTGTCAGCCACTCCCAGGACAATTTTCTCTGACTCCCAATTTCCGATGGGGCAGCGGTCATAATAGCATCTCCCCTGGCCCTGGTAAGATGTTATTTTAAAGGTATTAATAATTCCATAATCCATTTTATCATAAATGTCTATTTCATACTTTACAGACTGTTTTCCTATACACCTTTGAACGAAGGGGGATTATGGGATGAAAGGATTTTTTTTTTTTTAAATGTAAACTGCCTTAAAGACTAACTACCTTATTTTGGAATCCACTGTCATAAATTAGTTAATCAGGTATAGGAAACTATATAGGAAAGAATTGTTTGAATTTCTTATTGGATTGTTTTTCAGTCTGAAAGAATGGCTGTAGTTGGAGTATAACTATCACCCCATATGTGCTTAAGTTAAGGAAACAATTACCGTATTTTTCCAACAATAAGACGCCCCCATGTACAAGACGACCCCCACTTTTCCAGCCCAAAATTAAAAAA